TGCATACATGTGGGAGTGAAGGGGGCCTCAAAAAGTTTTTGGGGGGGATGTTATGTGCTTAGTTGTAACTTTATTTCTTTGCAATTAAAAAAAAAAAAAAATTTTACATAACTTTTTTTTATCACATAGGGGACAAAAAAAATGATTTTTAGGTGACAGGTTCTCTTTATTGAGACATGCAGGGTCTAAAAGACCCTGCATGTCTCCTTTGGCCTCCACTCAATGTATTGCAATGCATTGCTTCTAGGCTGTGCTAGCCAAGGAAGTGACAGCGATGACCCTGAAGTGACGCCACACACGTTGCCTTCTGGGTCACAGAAAGAAGGGGAGGAGAGCGGACGTTCATCCTCTCAATTCTCTCCCCTCCATCCACCAGCACCTGCTATGGCACTCCTCGGGCCCACAGATGGGCAAGTGGGGCTCAGACACATGGTGGGCACGCGTGTGGGGACCAGTACTGGGGGCTGTGGAAGCAATCTGGTGGCAGCGCAACCGCCCGACTGCTTCTACCTGACAGACAGGCCTCTGCCTATCAGTTTTATACACAATCCTGGTTCAAATCCCAACCATGGAACCACCTGCCTGGAGTTTGCATGTTCTCCTTGTGCTTGTGTGGATTTCCTTCGTGTGATTTCCTTCGGGTACTCCGATTTCCTCCCACGCTCCAAAGGCATGCTGGTAGGTTAATTGGCTCCTGTCTAAATTGTCCCTAATATGTGTATGTATGAATGTGAGTTAGGGACCTTAGATTGTACACCCCTTGAGGGTTAGGGACTGATGTGAATGTAATATATATATGTAAAGTGCTGTGTAAATTGACAGTGCTATATAAGTACCTGAAATAAAAAAATAAATATTCTGAATGAAACAAAACAAATGCCAAAGATATGAAACAAAATCCGAAAATGAAATGGTTCATTTTATTTATTTTCTAAATGCATCTGAAAAAAAACACTAAATTAAAATGTGTAGTGTGCCCATGTCTAGTGGATGCATATGTGTGGCAGCTGGGCATTAAAGTGCAAAAACAACAAATTAAATTGTGGTGTGAACAAGTGGTAACACACCATCCACATAAGTAAGCCTCTACCCCCCCCCCCCCCAGATAAATGTGAAGATACACTTGTACAGCATAGGTGGTAAAATGTTCATAAAAATCCCATAGGGAGGGTGTTGCACTTCAGTAGGCAGCTCCATCTGAGACAGACTCAACACAACAGGGCGCCAGCTAAGTGTATCTCAAGGGTTTATTATTTTCAATGGTTTGAGAAAGCCAATAGGAGCTCCCAAATGTACTACCATAGCAACCAGCCCGCCCCAGGAGTGACGCCACATCCTGCCCTGCGATCCACATTGGCTCCTCATTTTCTGGAACATTGGACTTGGTTTCCTCACTGACAACACACTGTTTGGTGTCACGAGCTGCTCTTCCTGTGAAAAGTTTCCATCCAATGTGGTATGGCTGTAGATAAGCTCTTTGTTTTTTTATTCCTGTAAGTTTGCATTTGGCTTTTTAACCCCTCGCCCTCCAGAGGATTTACCCCCCTTCCTGACCAGGACATTTTTTGCATTACGGCGCTGCGTTACTTTAACTGACAATTGCGCGGTCATACAACGCTGCACCAAAATGAAATTTGAGTCCTTTTTTCCCACTAATAGAGCTTTCTTTCAGTGGTATTTGATTGCCTGTGTGTTTTTTATTTTTTGCGTTATAAGCAAAAAAAGACCAACAGTTTTCAGAAAAAAAACAATATTTTGGATTACTGTATATGCTATTAAACATGTCCAGCAAAAAAATTTAAAAAATCAAATTTTGTCATAAATTTAGGGCAAAATATATTCTGCGACATGTCTGCCAAAAAAAAAATCCCAATACATGTAAGTTAATTGGTTTACGTGAAAGTTATAGCGTTTACAAATGGCGGTATAGATAATGATTTTTTTGTCCACTAGTAATGGCGGCGATCTGCGACTTTAACGGGACTGCAGCAGACATTCTGACACTGGAGAGAACTAACTTGGTGTCACTGACACCCCAGTGACACCAATACAGTGATCGGTGCTAAAAAAAAAAGCACTGACACTGTGCTAATGGCACTGGGCAGGAAGGGGTTAATGTGAGAGGCAATCAAAGGGTTAACTGTGTGCTGGGAGTGTTTTACTAGGGGGCGGGGGTGTGTGCTTCACTGTAAGTACACTGATCGGGATGGCTTTACTGTGCACAGCCATCCTGAGCAGTGTGCTCAAGCTGACAGGGAGGAAGATTGTTTGTAAACAAAACAATCTTCCTCCCCGTCCTCAGTAATCACCGGCGCCGGCAGACAATTACCAGCTGTGACTCGGTGATTGACATCCACGGCCATGAACGGCAGTACGGGTAGGGGGTGTGCGCAACTCGCACGCGCCCCCTACTTGGAAATGCAAAATGACGTTTATGTATGTGATTCTGCGCAAAGGTGCAGGGTGGTATAGGGTGGTCCTTAAGCGGTTAATCGCAATAAACCCCTTGATGCACTTAGCTGGCGCCCCCTTGTGTTCTTTTTTGGCCATTAGAGCGCACCTATCTTGCCATCACACATAAAAGCTATGTGCTTGGCAAGAGGTTAAAGAGGTTTTTTTTTTTTAAATTTATTTAATAAAAATATGTCATATTATACTTTACCTGTTTTTGCTCATCGGTAGGAGTTGCTCTTCACCTTTTCTCAACAGAACAGCATGAAAAAAATTAAAATGCATCATTTAAATAAAAGATCCATCAGCTTTATTAGAGCACAGAAGCATTTACACGATGCAATATCAATGCGATTTTTTTTTTTTTTTTTTTTTTTTTTTTTTTTTTTTTTTTTTTCATCAAGAAATACAACATTTACATGGAGGGGCGGACTGACCATTTGGAAACTCGGGCACTGCCTGAGGGCCTGGGGTCAGTAGGGGGCCCCATGAGATGCCCCTGGTACCTTTTTCATAGGCTTTTTTGAGTTTGGGCAAGGACACAGGGGCCCCATGATCCCCTATTGCCCGGGGGCCCCATGAGTTGTCAGTCCGCCCCTGTTTACATGATATAAAGTTCATTATGAAGTGCAACATACATATTGTACACTTCACATACTGTATTTGCAGCACGGTTTTATTTGTGCAAGTGAGACTCATGCAGTTTTTAAAAAAAATGGTAAATATACAAAGCGTCGGAAAGAACTCCATTCTGCTTTATTTCTATCTCTAGTGGATCAAGCATTACTTCTGTGTAAAATGTATAAGGGCCCATTCACACTTGTGCGGTGCGGCGATGTACGCTACCACAACGCATGGCAACTTACTTTCTGCCTTTGACGTACGGTGCCATTTCCATTGCGTTGTACAGTAAAGCCCAATGCACAACGCACTGCAGTGCATCTATTGTGGTGTGTTGGCGGCCTGTTTTTATCATCCCCTGTCCACCAATGAGAATGAACTCTAAAAAGAATGTCATTAAAACTCAACTCCATTTTTTTTCTGGCTAAGATAAGAATCAGAACTTTTGTGTCAGCATTGATTGTCCCTTATATCCAGTCCTGGTGACGTCAGGAGAAAAAGTGAGACTCAGGGTGTCACTGAGACAGAAGGACCCAGCCAGACATTCCAACTTCTCTCTGGCTTTGTCCTCATCAAAGAGCTATGCCATCATTTCCTGTTCTTGTGATACCCTGTCAGGGCAAATCTCTCTAACAGGCATAACAACAAAAATAAAAACTTAACAGAGGTTCTCCACCTCTCCCTCTTTGTACAAATCTATAAAAAAAATAGGTTTTGGATGGAGTTGGGCTTTAAAGGTGAACTCTAGGCAACTATAAAATAGGAAAAAATAAATAAATAAAAAAAATAGTGCTGTAATCTTTAGGAACTGTACATCATTACATTTATATTTAATGGAAGCAGTGTAAGTATTTAGCATTTATTTATTTTGGGTATTTATATAGCGCCATCAATTTGCGCAGCGCTTTACATATATATTGTACATTCACATCAGTCCCTAACCCTCAAGGGGCGTACAATCTAAGGTCCTTAACTCACATTCATACATACACATACTAGGGACAATTTAGACAGGATCCAATTCACCTACCAGCATGTCTTTGGAGTGTGGGAGGAAACTGGAAAACCCGGAGGAAACCAACTCAGGCACAGGGAGAACATGCAAACTCCAGGCAGGTGGTGCCGTGGCTGGGATAGTATTCAAATGTGACTTGGTATCAGCCTCTTGCAGTCCACATACAGCAGGGCTGGAGTGTGTCAGCAAGAAGGAGCACAATGGGCCAATCTGTTCATGCACAAGAAGCATGCTGATAGGAGGAGAAAGCAGGGTGATGTGGGACAGATCATGGGGGAAATGGGTTAAATTATGCTGGCCATCACACTGAGGATTAAGTGTGTTTATATAAACAGATTAATCTTCAGCTGATCAAAGTCAAACCTTTTAAAGTCAAACTCAAGCCAAAAGTCACCCAAAAGCATACAACAATAAAAAGACTAACACAAATTCTCAGTACTTTTTATATAATTAAATGTTATATTTTGACTGGGGTTAGGTTTTGAAAAGCTAAGTTTATGCTTGAACATTGCTAATCCTGGCCAGCAGAGGGTGCTGCTGACTAACGTAACGCGGAACAGACCATCATATGTGTATGGGAAAAGTAGGCATTAAAACCTACAAAGATTTACAGAAAAAAATACCAAAAAAGTATCAGTCTGTTGAACATCCTGTTACTCATTTTTTGGGAAAAATATATTGGCCATTGTAAAAAAAATGCTATAATTTCTTCTGGTGTATGTTAAATAAATATAAATATTTAAAGTGTTACTACACCCCGGACCCTGCATTCACTATATCCGGTCTACCCCAACCCTGCATTCACTATATCCGGTCTACCCGGACCCTGCATTCACTATATCTGGTCTCCCCGGACCCTGCATTCACTATATCCGGTCTCCCCGGACCCTGCATTCACTATACCCGGTCTCCCCCGGACCCTGCATTCACTATATCTGGTCTCCCCGGACCCTGCATTCACTATATCCGGTCTCCCCGGACCCTGCATTCACTATATCCGGTCTCCCCAGGACCCTGCATTCACTATATCTGGTCTCCCCGGACCCTGCATTCACTATATCCGGTCTCCCCGGACCCTGCATTCACTATATCCGGTCTACCCGGACCCTGCATTCACTATATCTGGTCTCCCCGGACCCTGCATTCACTATATCCGGTCTCCCCGGACCCTGCATTCACTATACCGGTCTCCCCGTCATTCACTATATCCCCCCAGGACCCTGCATTCACTATATCTGGTCTCCCCGGACCCTGCATTCACTATATCCGGTCTCCCCGGACCCTGCATTCACTATATCTGGTCTCCCCGGACCCTGCATTCACTATATCCGGTCTCCCCGGACCCTGCATTCACTATACCTGGTCTCCCCCGGACCCTGCATTCACTATATCTGGTCTCCCCGGAACCCTGCATTCACTATATCCGGTCTCCCCGGACCCTGCATTCACTATATCCGGTCTCCCCCGGACCCTGCATTCACTATATCTGGTCTCCCACAGTACACACAACATGGAAATGCAATTATTTTAGTAAATAGAAACTGCTAAATACCTTTTCTCATCAGCAGTTAGAGCAGTCTTGTGACACTATCAGTGTCCAGCAGTGCACTGGTTAAAGCTTGTAGGAGGAGTTTTCTTTCTGCTCTAAGCAGTATGCAGAACCCCTGACCCTCTGTCTGGTCAATGCTGATTGGCTATGTGCTGATCACATGCACTTTCCCAAAAAACCCCCAAAAAACCTCTCTAGCAATACACACTAAACTGAGCATGTGCAGAGTGTCTCCACACCATATGACTTATCAGAAGATAAGAGGGGGGCACTGGAAGAAGGGGAGGATCAGAAAAGACAGGATCAATCAGCATTTTTACACAATGCCAAAGGTTAACCCCTTAGGTTCCACAGTGAATATAAGAAGCATACTTTACTGCATATACAGACTGATTTTACTGTTGTGGGTTTAGTAACACTTTAAGTTGCACAGTACTGTCATTTAAAGGATGGACTCCAAATTCTACATAGTTGGTCAGCTTGATGACGTCCATGTAAAAATATGCTTCTTGCATGGCTTTCAGCTCTGCTGAGCTGCATTGATCTGCATAGACGCACAGGAACATAGAAGTCAATTGTTTTCTATGTGCCCTAGTCACCCCATACTGCTGCATTGGGTGGGCTACAGTGCTAAATGAAGCCCCTCTGGGTATACTAGTGAACATGAACTGGCAAATGGTACCTTTGGTTAAACTAGGGGTGCTCAACCTGTGGCCCTCGGAGCCCTCTGATGTGGCCCTTGAACTGAAACCAGGGAAGCACACTTCTATTATATTCTGAATGCTGGAGTTTTGGTGCATTTTCTGAAAGTGCAACACCCACAAGATATAATAGAAGTCTATGGTAAAGAGCAGCTAACCCACTGGTGCACTGCAGCTGCAGTTCAGGTAAACAGCAGCACCTCAGTGCAGGGTCAGGAAAGTAACGGCTTGGTTACATTTGCCGTTTGGGGGAGGTAAAACCCCATAGTTGAGATGTGTTTTTACCACACACCCACAACCAATGGTGTGGTTGCAATGGTGACCCTGCCCCATGCTCCAGGGGGCCTGTGTGGCCTCCCTGTCCCATTCTGGAAAGGAGGGGCGGCAGTGGCAGCATATAAAGAAACTGATTCCCCTTATTTTCCTTCTGTAACTGCTGAAAACCGGCTTCTCCTCCTCTCCCTCCGCCGGAATTCACTGGCTGCAGGAGGAAAATGCTCATTATGCAATTCAAAATAAAAAATTCTAAATTTGGAACCATTTCATTTCATTGTAGTCTCAACCGGCTACCAAATCACTTAAGTGGCCCCCACTCTTCAAAATGTTTAGCTCCCCTGGGTTAAACCATACCCCACTGCAAGACTGGACCCCCATCCCCCAGAATTCAAGAGGCATGAACATGACTGGCACCTAGGCATGTGCCACACCCCACCTATGTAATGGCTCTGTTCTCCCGGGGGGGGGGTTAAAGGTGGCTGAGCCATGGTTTTACCTCCCCCTGACCACCCATCAGACTTCTGATTGGGCTGTACATGTCGCAAGCTTGCCTTATAACTGCTTCAGTTTTAACTCTGGCTGTAGAGTTTGACAGGCAGCACCTTCTGTGAAACTTGCCCAGATTAGGCCATACAACAATGGCGAGTCAAATGCCTGGCTTGCAGTTGCGGTGCAGTCTTGCAATGTAAAATTGAGAAAAAGTGAGAAAAAAATGCAAAAACAAGACAACTAGCAAACAAGGTGGCAGTAGCACTTCCTGAATGCCTGACAGCAGCTGCAATACAGCCCTCTGAAAAGTGATCCAATGTGGTTTGCTTTTCAGAGGTCAGTAAGCATTGCCACCTGCCTGAAAGTGACCTAACAGCACTCACTGCCTGGCTAGCACACTGCCACATGAGACATAGGAGGGCGGAGCATAATTGTATACACATATCGACTTTCTGAAAAGTCAGTATTTGCTTAGTTATTCCGGTACGGTCCAGCAGGAGTTCAGTTTAGCAAACCTCAGGTTCATGTAAAGAGCAATATTGTTAGAAGGAATGTAAGCCTGAAGTATCGGATGACATCTAGTTTTCTGAAGCTCTGTGTATCATAAAAATTGTTTTTTTTTTTTTTTTTTTTTTAAGTAATGTTCTCACTTTGTTTTCATCTTTTCTTGGATCTCAGCGCTTCTGATCTCCTGCAGCCTCTTTCACTGGCAAAAGAAGGGGCTTCATGATGGTGACAAACACAGAGCATGCCATGCTTGTAGTCTAATCTAGAAGTCTTCATTACAGGGTGACCACTCAGGGGCACAGTTGGGAGACAGTTGTCACCTATAACAGGAAGAGCCTGAACAAGAGCAGAACATGCCTGTAGCTGCTATGGCAGGTGCATGTGACAAGGTGACAACGCAGAGGGAAAACATTAGAAGATGGGGACACAGTGTTATCACCCTATAACAGGAAATGCCCGAACAAGGACCACAAGGTATTATATTCATAAAAGCCTACAGATTCAAAAAATGGTCAAAATAACTTTTTTTTTTAAAATGGTAAGCATTTTGCATGGGACTTCAACAATTTTTTTTTTACATATTGAAAAACTAAAGCTTCGTGGCTTATCCTAATCAAAAAACAAAATTTTTCAAGCTACAACGGATATGATATATATATATATATATATATATATATATATATATATATATATATATATATATATATATATACATACAGTATATATAATTAACAGGAAAATTCCAATAATTTATATAAATCCTTATAAGGATATCCAACTGCTATATATATATATATATATATATATATATATATATATAAAAATATGAAAAATATTTTAATGTTTACAATAACATATATATATATATATATATATATATATATACTATATATATATATGTTATTGTAAACATTAAAACATTTTTCATTTTTAAAGTGCTTGTAAACCCTCACCTTGTAAAACAACTCATTCAGTGTAAACTGGAAATAAAGGGCGAAACATTTGTGTATACATATAAAAAACATTGTAAATACCTTGTTTTCCCTTTTATTAAAAGTAATCACATTCCCTCAGCTGCATAAGAGCTGGGGGTAGAGAAACAACATAACATTAGTCTTCCCAGTGAAAGGCTGTGCAGAAGGGGGGATGTCAGAACAAGTCTGATCACTGGGGGAGAACAGGCTGAGTTCCCAGCACAGCTAGCGAGCTGACTACGCTGTGCTCTCCTTCCTAGTGTGGTCAGTTTTTATAGGAAAGCAGAGGGCCTGGCAGAAACACAGGGATTTCACACAAAGGAAGCAATACAAAGAGAACAGAATACTTTTTATGCAAGTACATGGTACAGCAGGCACATATCAGGAATATGAAATGTTGGGTTTACATATTCTTTAAAGTTTACAATTTAAAAAAAAACATTTTTTATATAAAGCAACAGTTTTTGAATATTTAAAAAAAAACATTTGTTGGAGGTCCTATGCAAAATGCTTACCATGTAAAATGGTATTTTTGTTGTAAACTTTGCAAAATTATTATTGTAAACCTATATTTATTGTTTACATATTCAAAAACTGCTGCTTTATCTCCAAAAAAAAAAAAAAAAAAAAAAAAAAAAAAAAAATAAATATATATATATATATATATATATATATACAGTGGTACCTTGACCTACGAGTGAATGAAAAAAAAATTGAGGTACGAGCTCTAGACGCCGCTGCTAGATGGCGTAGTGAGCAGTGAAATAGTAAAAAATTAAAAAGAAAAAAATAATAAAAGAAAAAAAAGAAAAAAAAAAAGAAAAAAACAATTGTGAAGTAGCAATTAAGTTTAGGGATACGTAGTGTACAGTAGTGATAACAAAAAATGAGTCTTCCATTCTTCTTCGTCTATCTCTTCTACCCTCCACCTCCGCCAGCGTCTTTGTTAGCTCAAGTCGTCTCATCTCCAAGGTAAGTACACTGTATAAAACCTTATTATATCTTTGCATACTCTTTCTGTTATGTTTGTATACCATATTTGTTATTTAGAAATGCATTTTTCTTATTTAATAACATGAAACATAAAAATATGGGGTGGCATTTTGAGGGTTGGAACTGATTAAGGGCATTTTAAGTATTTTCAATGGGGAAAATTGATTTGATGTGCGAGCAAAATTGAGCTACGAGCTTGGCTATGGAACAAATTAAACTCGTAGGTCAAGGTACCACTGTATTTTATTGTAAACTTTAAAAGTAAAAAATGTTTCAAAGTTTACAATAAAAATCTGTATTTTGTAAATAAAGCTGCAGTTTTTGAATATCCACTTGCCCTTCCAAAAATTCATCCCCCTCCCATTTAATAAATGTAAAAATGAGATTTCATCATAAAGTTAGGCCAAAATGTATTCTGCTTAATGTCTTTGGTAAAAAATCCCAATAAGTGTATATTGATTGGTTTGCAGGTATATATACTGGAATTTTATTTATTTTCTTTTTATACTAGTAATGGTGGCAATCAGCTACATATAGTGGGACTGTGATTGTATGGTGGGCATTCTGACACTGGCTAACTGACACTGACATCCCCAGTGACACTAATACAGTGCAAATAAAATGCACTGCCACTGTACTAATGACACTGGGCAGGATGGGGTTGACATCTGGGTCAATGAAAGAGTTACCTGTGTGCCAAAGTATGTGTAATGTGTGCAATCTGTGCTGATTTACTAAGGATGTGACTGTTTTTGTCTCCCTGCAAAGCAGGCACATTCTCACTCTCAGCAGAGAGATCTGTCTTGTTTGCCAACCCAGATCTCTTTCCTGTCACTTGCTCCAACAATTGTCGGCCCTGGCTGCGAATCATAGTCCGAGGCCCGTTGATTGGCAAATAAAGGAGCCAGTGACATTGCAGAATCACATATATATGTGGTTAAGCACAGCCAGCCCACGCTGTAGCAGTAAGGCTACAGTACACGGTCGGCAAGTGGATATGTACAAAAAATTGCAGGTTTAGGCTCCATGTACATGGGACATTTTGGAAAACGATGGAAA